ATCTGCCAACGCAGGGGACATGGTTCGATCCCTAGTCTGGGAAGATCCCACATGCCGCAGAGCAACTAAGCCCGAGCACCACAACTTCTGAGCCTGCGCACTCTAGAGCCCAGGCCCCACAACAAGAGAAACCACCGAAATGAGAAGCCCACGCACTGTAACTGCAGAGTAGCCTCTACTCACTGTAACTAGAGAAAGCTTGTGTGCAGCAATGAAGACACAACGCAGCCAAAAAATAAAAATAAATAAAGGAGGCCTTCCTTGACCACCATATCTAAAAATGGCACCCACATCATTCTGTAATCCTTGACACTACTTTATTTCCCTTCACGGTACTTAACCTGACATTCGATTACACTGTTCATTTTTGGATTGCCTCTCTCCTGCATGAGGGCAGGAGCTTGGTCTGTTTTGTTCACGGCTGTCTTCCTATCATCTGGATGAGGGGTGGAGGAACTCCACGTGCTCTTGTTTATTCTTTGTTTACCTATGCCCATCCAAGTTCTTGCCAATTAGAATGTACCATCAAGGTTCGTACAGGTGCTGTCTTCAACACAAGACACAGTCACCTCTGAGATGAAGTATGCTCACCTCTAGAACTCAAGGGCCCAGCAGTTACACATTTATACATATTAGGCCACTTCTTTCAGATGAACCCAGAGAAGTGGAATTACTAGGTCATGAGCCAAACTTCCCAATTACCCTCCAGAGAGAGCAATACTAAACCCTCTCCCATCAGCAGTGTTGTGTTTCAGTATATTCTGGGGCTTCAGGCAAATGACGATAATGATAATGATGATGGAGACAACAATGATGTCTCCCTTACTCTCTGTTAACTAGAAAATACATATATATTTCTAGGGGCAGGGAAACTCCTGGGTCATCATCTCACCGATGAGGATTCATGGGGTGTGCTGACTTTGGAGAGTAAAGATGTTCCCTGACAATTTCCATATCTGACATAATGTCCTCACCAACACTTTCAATTTTTTCCAATGGTGCCAAGTCAGGTTCATTCATTAATTCATTTACTTCAAAATGATTTTTCATCACCTACTTTGTACGTAATCTCTAACATCTGCCAAGCTGAAGGATATTCCTTCAGTTTGAAATAACAGGACTTACAACCATCATGGTATTTAGCACTAAAGGTGCAAAGACATTCCTTTGCCAACAAAGGTCCATCTGGTTTTTCCAGTAGTCATGTAGGGATGTAAGAATTGGACCATAAAGAAGGCTGAGCACCAAAGAATTGATGCTTTTAAACTATGGTGTTAGAGAAGACTCTTGAGGGTCCCTTGGACTGCAAGGAGATCAAACCAGTCCATCCTAAAGGAAATCAATCCTGAATATTCACTGGAAGGACTGATGCCGAAGCTGAAGCTCCAATACTTTGGCCACCTGATGCGAAGTACTGACTCATTAGAAAAGACCCTAATGCTGGGAAGGTTGAAGGCAGGAGGAGAAGGGGATGACAGAGGATAAGACGGTTGGATGGCATCACCCACTCAATGGACATAAGTTTGAGCAAGCTCCAGGAGATGGTGAAGGACAAAGAAGCCTGGCGTGCTGCAGTCCATGGAGTCACAAAGAGTCAGACATGACTGAGCCACTGAACAACAACAATAATAACAAAGGTGCTTTCACTTCCCTTATCTTATTTGGATACTGGTACCAAACCAACTGGGTACAATTCAGCCCATTTCTGCCATTTCATAGGAGAAAACAAGAGGCACAGAGGGGAAGGATTTGGCCAGGGTTACGTATTCGTCAGAACCACAAGTGGGAATCCTGTGAGTTTCTCAGCATGTGCCACCCCCTCCATACTCCAATGTCCTGCCAGGTTCAACACCACTGAAAGCAGATTTACTGGGCCATCGTATTAAAAAGGGTGACATATTTATGCATTCTGAATTCTAAGCTGAGGGACAGTAGAATGGAAGAATAATTTTAAAAAGGCTTTTGCTACATGGAAATCAATGAAGTTAAAACACACCCTCTCACCATACATAAAGATAAACTCAAAATGGCTTAAACACTTAAACATAAGACATGACACCATAGAACTCTTATAAGACATCATAGGTAAAACATTCTCGTACGAAAGTTTTCTTAGGTCAGTCTCCCAAAGTAATAGAAATCAAAATAAAAAATAAACAAATGGGACCTAATCAAACTTACAAGTTTTTGCATAACAAAGAAAACCATAAACAAAATGAAAAGACAACCTACAGAATGGAAGAAAATATCTGCAAACAATGTGACTGACAAGGTCTTAATTTCCAAAATATACAAACAGCTCGTACAACTCAACAACAAAAACAAACAATCCAATCAAAAAATGAGCAGACGATCTGAATAAACATTTCTCCAAAGAAGAAATATAGATGGCCAATAGGCACATGCTCAACATCACTAATTATTAGATAAATGCAAATCAAAACTACATGAGGTAGCACCTCACACAGGTCAGAATGGCCATCATTAAAAATTCTACAAACAGTAAATGTAGGAGGGAACCCTTCTACACTGTTGGTGGGAATGTAAGTTGGTGCAGCCACTGTGGAAAACAGTATGGTGGTTCCTCAGAAAACTAAAAATAGAACTGCCATATAATCTAGCAATCCTATTCCTGGGCAAATATCCATACAAAACTAAAATTCAAAAAGAAACATGCATCCTTAGGTTCATAACAGAACTATTCATAATACGTGAGACATGGAAGCAACCTAGATGTCTGTCAACAGATGAATGGATAAGGAAGACATGGTATGTACAATGGAAAACTGCTGCTGCTAAGTCACTTCAGTTGTATCCGACTCTGTGTGATCCCATAGACAGCAGCCCACCAGGCTCCCCCATCCCTAAGATTCTCCAGGCAAGAACCCTGGAGTGGGTTGCCATTTCCTTCTCCAATGTGTGAAAGTGAAAAGTGAAAGTGAAGTCGCTTAGTCGTGTCCGACTCTTAGCGATCCCATGGACCACAGCCTACCAGGCTCCTCCATTCATGGGATTTTCCAGGCAAGAGTACTGCAGTGGGGTGCCAATGCCTTCTCCACAATGGAATACTATTCAGCCATAAAAAAGAATGAAACAATGCCATTTGGAGCAACATGTATGCAACTAGAGATTATCATATTAATACTAAGTGAAGTAAATCATAAATAGACACATCACGTAAATGATATCACTTATATATGGAATCTAAAATAGGATACAAATGAAACTATCCATGAAACCAAATAGAATCACAGACTTTGAGAACAGACTGGTGGTTGCCAAGGGGGAGGGGGTTGGAGGAGGGATGGAGTGAGAGATTGGGGTTAGCCAATGTAAGCTTTTATACATAGAATGGATAAACAACAAGGTCCTACTGTATATCACTTTCAATATCCAAGAACATTTTTTAAAGAATATATATAATACAAACACGTATGACTGAATCACTGCTGTAACAGCAGAAATATACACAACAATGTACCTCAACTATACTTCAATTATTTTTTAATCTATTGAGTTTTTTTTTTCCATTTATTTTTATTAGTATTGAGTTTTTTTAAGTGGCTTTTGTTTTGATGTCATTTCCGTTATCATGATAGTGGGGGCTGGGCTGAATTGTGCTATAGAAGCTTGATTAAGAGAGGAGAATCCATAGTTTCCTAGAAGCTCATTTGCTTGTATGATTCCAGATTAGAGTTTACTAAAAGTGGAACTTGTGTGAGAATTAACTGTAGGGCAGAAGGTAAGCAGTAGTCACTACCTTTGGCAGCCACCACCCCAACAGATGTAGTGATGGACAGAAACAGAGGTGCCCTGCAGAGGCTAGCTTATCCGACTCTCCCCTGCTCCACCTCAAGGTTGCATTTCCTACCACTGGCTCCGCTAGCCAACGGCTGACTCAGTCCCACCACCAGGGGCTTGTCTGTGGCCCCACACAGGCAGGTGTTACACAGAGGCCCCAGCTTCCCATAAACCTCTCCACCAACTCTCCCTTCACCACCACACTTGGACAGCTGGATGCGCCTGACTTCTTGAACTTTCCCAAAACCTCTGATTTGTCCAGTTCAACCAATGCTTCTGGTAGTGGCTAATGACTCTCTGATCTGACTCCCAGCTTCTAGACATTCACTACCCCCGTGCCTCCCACATCAGCAAAAGGATTCATTCTTAGAATATCCATGATGGCTCTGCTTCCCTGTCTAAATCTTGACAACACAATATGGATTTTGCCTTACTTTAAACAAAAACTAACATAAGAAAAGAAATATTCCAGATTATATGGCAGAATTCCACCTTCTATTTAGAATCCCTATGGCCCATGGGTATAGGGGGTAAAGGGACATTATTAAATGACTAGTGGAGTCATATAATATATAATGTATATGATATATAATATCACATATAATATATAATATAATGTATATGATATATAACATATAATATATAATATATATGGGCTTACCAGGAGGTACAGTGGTAAAGAATCCATTTGCCAAAGCAGGAGACACAAGAGATGAGGGTTTGATCCCTGGGTCAGAAAGATCCCTTTCAGTAGGAAATGGCAACTCATTCCAGTAGTCTTGCCTGGAAAATCCCATGGACAGAGGAGCCTGGTGGGCTACAGTCCATGGGATCACAAAGAGTCGGACATGACTGAGCACTCAGACACACACAAATAATATACATAATAGTGTCCCTGAAAGATAGACTGAAGTGAGAAACACTATAGAAAGGAACAACTGAGAAAATACAACTTTATCTTGCTTTTATGAGATGAAACAGATGGAAGAGTGGAAGGGATTGGCAGAGAAGTTGTTTCTGTAGTCCAGAAATTTTCAGTCAAGTTTTACCATAATTCTTTAGGATACAGTAAAAGAAAATAATCAGTCCAGTCTCCATTCTCTAAGTAACTATCATCTGTGAATTGAAAGAGAAGGGGGCCGCTGCCGTCGCTACCGCCATTGGAGTTGGCGCCTAGTCAGTACGTTCCGTCCCGCTAGCCGCCTCGCGCCCGCCCACGAGCGGCCCGCGCGCCCGGCAGCCGCAGCCNAAGGCACCAGGAATGAACAGCCTGGAGCAGGGCATGGTGGGCCTGAAGATTGGGGACGTCACCACCTCTGCGGTCAAGACGGTAGGGTCAGTCGTCAGCAGTGTGGCCATGACGGGCATCCTTTCCGGCAATGGTGGGACCAATGTGCCCCTGCCGGTATCAAAGCCGACCTCATGGGCTGCCATTGCCAGCAAACCTGCCAAACCACAACCGAAAATGAAGGCCAAGAGTGGGCCTGCCATCGGGGGGGCGCTGCCCCCGCCACCTATTAAACATAATATGGACATTGGTACTTGGGACAACAAGGGGTCTGTGCCCAAAGCCCCGGCCCCCCAGCAGGTGCCAGCCTCCTCGGTGGCCCCCCAGCCCCAGCCGGCCATGCAGCCTCTTCCCGCCCAACCTCCCCTTCCAGCCCCACCACAACACACGGCCCCCCAGCAGCTGCCCCAGACCCGCTGGGTTGCCCCTCGCAGCAGAAATGCGGCGTTTGGGCAGACCGGGGGCCCCAGCAGTGACAGTAACTCCCCTGGGAGCGCCCAGCCCAGCACGACCCTGAGCGCAGAGTCCCACCCCGTCTTAGAAAAACTGAAAGCCGCTCACAGTTACAACCCCAAGGAGTTTGACTGGAACCTGAAGAGCGGGCGCGTGTTCATCATCAAGAGTTACTCGGAGGATGACGTGCACCGCTCTATCAAGTATTCGCTCTGGTGTAGCACGGAGCATGGCAACCGGCGCCTGGACAGTGCCTTCCGTGCCCTGGGCAGCAAGGGGCCTGTCTACCTGCTCTTCAGCGTCAATGGCAGTGGCCATTTCTGCGGGGTGGCTGAGATGAAGTCGCCTGTGGACTACGGCACCAGCGCCGGGGTCTGGTCCCAGGACAAGTGGAAGGGCAAGTTCGACGTGAAGTGGATCTTCGTGAAGGACGTGCCCAACAGTCAGCTGCGGCACATCTGACTGGAAAACAACGACAACAAGCCGGTCACCAACTCGCGTGACACCCAAGAGGTACCCCTGGAGAAGGCGCGCCTGGTGCTGCGGCTCACCGCCTCCTACAGGCACAGCACTTCGACGACTTTTCCCACTCTGAGAGGCGCCAGGAGGGGGAGGAGGTGGTGCGCAAGCAACGGCAGAGTCGAAGCAAGCAGTGAGGGCGCAGCAGGCTCTCGTGCCTCTGACGTCAGGCTGCGCGGCTGAGGGCGTGAGGCTGCGCGGCTGAGGGCGTGAGGCTGCGCGGCTGAGGGCGCGTGCCTCGTGCTGTCTCCTGGCGGCGGCTCTGCAGGCCTCGTGCAGTGCTCGCCTGCTCACATCTTTATGTCCTTTGTAGTTTATTTTTGCCCAGATGAATCTGCATTCATTTGTATTTTTTCTATGTATCAT